CCATCTCATCGTCGTGTATTTGTGTATGTATATAAGGGTATCGAGATGGCCGCACTTGATGCCTGCCAACAGCAGCCTCACGGCCCCGGGACACAGCCAGCAGCCTCAAGCTCAAGTCGGCTAGCTAGCTAGAAGAGAGACGGTCAGCCAGAGCCTTCACAGACTATGTAGTTTCCATTCCACTTGCCTCTCATCCTGCCCTGTAGACAGACGCCGTAACCAGCATCCGCTGCCAAATGATCTCGTCAAGTGCTCAACCGCCAGCAAAAAGCAACGAGAACTGAGCAGCAGTAAGCAAAAAGACCCTGCCGGCCCCGTCTGCCCATCAGCTGGGCGCCTCCAGACGCAGCGCGGTACCTCTGCGGCCGCCGTCATCTGGCCTGCAGCCGAAGTATCTCGCCGTCGTTCCACCAGCGAGCAGCAGCCAACTAGTCGACTAGTTAGTTAGCGGCTTGTTCGACCCATCTCGATCTTCCCACCACCGAAACGACTCCAGCAACGACGACGCCGCCAGCGAAGCCCCAAGACGAAGACGCAAACGGCCGTCGAGCAGCAGGCAGAGAGACCGCAGTCGAGGGCGATGAAGCACCTCGCCGCCGCCGTCCGCCCCGAGCCTTGTCTTCTTCTCCTTCTCCTCTGCTGCCTCCCTCCGCCAGCGATCCGCCCTCCGCCCTCCCGCCGGTGACAGCCAGACGCTGCCCTTTGCCAGCCAGCCAGTCCGTCGAATCGCCTGCCGCTGGCCTCCCGAGCCCGTCTACCGTCGAATCGCGCCTGTCCGGTGGCTACCCGACGCCTGAGGGACCAAGAGAAGAGAAGCGCCCGCTCCGTCCGACGGCCAACGCATCTTCGAGGTTGGGTCGACCCAGCAGGCACCGCAGCCGGAACGCTGCAGCCAAACGAGCCACCGCAAATTCGCACCTGGGAATCGCTCTCTTGCACATCCTCGCCCAGGGCCAGACGAGAGACGGCCTGCTGCCTTCGTTCTTACGCTCGCTTTTACCGCAGCAGAAAGAAAGAAAGGGAAAGGGTTAAAAATATAATAAAATAAAAAAAAATAAAAATACAAAAAAAATAACAACAACAACACACCTCTCTGCGCAAAGGAGGATCGCCAGCCACCTGCCTACAGAAGCCCCGGAATACACTGGATATTATGCGATCGGAGAGATGCTGTGAATGAACGCGGGATCCTTTTGCGAGTCTAGACATTCCCATATCCACAGCTGCTACTGCTGCTGCTGCTGTTGCTGCTGTGTTGCTCTTGTATGCAGTGTGTTCCTGGTGAATGGGCTGGCCTGGCGCATTCAATCAATGCCTCATTCACAACGTCTCGGAGCCCTTCTATTTTGATATCTCGACCGCCTGCAACAGAAAGAAAAGAAAGAAAGGAAAAAGAGGAGCCTGCCTACCTGAAAGAACGCCCTTTCTTCCCGCCCTGCAACTCGCTTCTCTCCGGCCTGGATGTTAGCCCTCGCTCGCCGCAGTCGATATCCGCTCCTCCTTCTCGTCTCGCAATCCGATATACACGCTTCTGGTGCTTGCTACTACGCCGTTTGCCATGTCGGCGGACAGTCGCAGCTCGCAACCACGCCCACACGCCGATAACAGACCGTCTAAGCCGTCGCCCGTGTCGTCTGGGAAGAGGTCTTACTCTACGTATCTGAGTGACGTCGACCGCAAGTTCAAGCAGCTCTCCCGGGACGTCCTGCCCGCCCATCCATACATCTTGTCCGTGCCCACCGAGAAGCCGTACCGGCTGGGATCGCGCTTCGTGAGCAACTGGGCAGTAGGAGAGAATACCTTGTTCTCCCCCGAGGAGGAACAGCTGCAGTATATGACCTTCCTCCCCCACCAGGGAGAAGACACGCTGCTGGTCTCGGTTGGAGGCTGGTCGGATGACAAGGGGAATATAGTCCCGGAAGAGGACCAGAGACCACCCTCAAGGGCCGCCAGCATGGCGGCGCCACTTACTACCGCCTCGCAGCACGACGCCCTGGCCAAGCGGAAGAAGAAAATCACCCTGAGCGACTACAAGAAGAAGGCCCTGGAGACCCCCCCACCACCACCAACTCCTCCGCTGCCTGGTGCAGCCGATCCGTCCACCAACGGGGCCAATGGAACCAACGGCAACCGCCCGGGGAGCGTAGACTCCGATAAGACACTGCGCAGACCGCAGTCGAATAGCTCCAAGCCAGAGGCCAAACAAAACCACCTCCAGCACCACCAGCACCACCACCCTTCGCAGGCCGCGGCCCCTGCTACCTCCTCAACCTCCTCCGCCCCTGACACCCGGACTGGCAGCAGAAGTAATGATACCAAGCAGAACGGGCAGGACAACCCCTCGGTACCCGCCAGCACTGGCCGGGTGGACAAGAATACCAAGCTCCCGCAGTCAAAACCTAGCCTAGCAAAGGACTCTCCGCCGCGCAAGAAGCCACGGCTCTCCATTCAGCCGGAAGAGAGGGAAAAGGAGAAAACTCCTACGAAGAAGGCGGGAAGAGCCCGCCAGATGGTGCCGGAACTGCTTTCCCCAACGCTTCCATTCGACAATGAGAGCTTCAGCCTCTCCCTACCGCCTCTACTATCCCCTACCCTCCCGCCAGACATCGAGGAAGAACTGGCCAGACTGCCTGATGATGGGCTAGAGAAGACCTCCCGCTCTCACTCTAGTTCCATATCCAGCATATCCAACAAGGCTATACCCAGCAAACCCAAGCCCGGTGCAAACTCGTCATCAGTCAAACAGTCGCAACAATCTTCCCTGGCTGCTGAGAAGAAACCGGCCAGTATATCTTCTTCTACAACCCTCCCACCAAAACCTCCAACAGCCTCTTCAAAGCCAACCACTTCTCAACCAACTCCCAGAATCACGACAACAGCTCCAAGGGAGAAGCTGATCGTCAAACTAAAGTATGGTCGGCAGAACAGGAAGCGAATCGAGGCTCTTCTAAAGATATCATCCAAACGGAAACCTACACCCACGCAAACCTCCGCCAAACCAAAGGGGCTGCCAGATTCCATTGTCGTATCCAAGAGTTCTCCACCAAATTCATCACCCCAACCCTCCACTACTACATCCATAGGTAAACAGAGTGAGCCTAGCTCAGGTTACAAACGACCAAAGGCCATGGATGGAGACGACGTCAAAGAGCCTGCTTTGAAACGACCACGGAGTTCCAATACACTTGCACCACCTCTATCAGACCAAGCTCCGACACCTAGCATGCAGACTCCTAGGTCAACTTCGGCCACTAAGCACCCGCCTGCATCCTCGCAGGACCAATTTCTCACCCCTAAAAAGGAACCAAAAGGAACTGCAATGCGCCGTGTGGGATCCGGTGACAGTGACATGAAGACTCCAAGTGGCAGCGCAACAAGCGTGAAGATGACGCAGTCTCTTTCTGTGGAAAGCCATCCATCTTCCAGCGCACAGCCTTCAGAACGCCGCGGCTGGCGTGACGAATATCAGAGATTTGTCAACCTGGGCCGTGACCTCAAACATGCCTCACAGCGCAACTCAACCCACAAATACAGCACCAGCCATGATATCCAGGATGACAAGCTAAGCGCTACAATTGCAGTCGAAGCTTTGCTCTGCTTTGTCCTAGCCTTCATTGCTGAACAACGCTTCCAATCTCTCAGTCGACAAGTCGGTAACTCCACCGGTTGGCGCTCTATAATAGCATACTGGCAATCTGTTCTCAATCGAACAACCTCTTATCCGCACCTCCATGGCATCTGTCTCCTCCTAGGCGCGGCCTGCCATGACTCCATTCATTCTCTCGACCTCGAACGATTAGCAACCACTCCCTTCCCGGATGAACATAGTCCTGCCCCAACTCCCGGCAGTGACGGTAACACCGTGACCAGCGAAGAAACCAAGAAACAGCGACGAGAGTTCGCGGAGCTGAGAACCAGACTTCCTGAATCGTACAAGGTTGCCCGTCGCTTATGGCTTGAAGGGTCCCGCGAGCTGTCTGATTCGGTCCTCACACAGCATTATCCCAACACCTGGTCAAAACGATTGAAAAACTCCGCCGATCGAGGAAGAGAACAGCTTAAACTAGGCGAGTACGGAGGTGACTTTTACCTCCCGCTAGGCACTGCATCAACACCCCTTGAAGCAGTACGGTTTGCCTGGGCTTTCCTGAACGAATGGAGTGAGAGAGAAGGAGTCAAGTGGAAAGGTAGATTGGGCCTGTGAAACCCTTTTTCCACTACCCTCCTTTCCAACCGTTTCTCTCTTTCTCTTTTTCTTAACAGCCCCTTTTTTTTCAGCATCTTAGAATATTTCTATCCATCTCCCTGAGATTTACGGCCTGATACCCCCCGTTTCCCCCGTTCTTCTCCATCCTTTTGATCTTGTCTCGCTTTCCTCGTCTCATTTAGCCTAGCCTTCATCAGCCTACGTCTACAGTCATATGTTTCCTATTTACTTTTTAGCCTGCTCCTTTAAACACTCGATACCATTGCTTCGGCCTGCTTACTTTCTCTTCTCCCATTTTTCTTTGCCCTTTCTCCTCTTTAATTAATGACATGATACCAAGAAGGATCACTGCCCTTCAGACCTGCCACTTATTGTTACCACTGCTTGTTTTACCAGCGCTGTTTTTACTTCCTTTCCTTCTAAACTACTTACCCCCTTTTTTCTTTTCATCACTCCTACGGTCCCTTGATGACTTGTCTCAAATTACTTACCTACTTGCCAACTTATTTACTTCTCCTTTTTTTTTTTTCCGTTAATTTTGCCTGGAGTATTGCGCAACAGGGCGTGAGGGTGGATGAATGGACGGATGGCTGGGTGCTGGTTTACTTTATCTTCCTAGGAAGAAAGAATGAAAAGGGAACAAAACAAAAACGGTTTCTGCGATGAATTGAATATGCGACCTCAGGGATGATGGTGTTGTCTGTTCTTTTCTTCTTCTGTTGCTCCCTGGAGTGAGTGTATTATTTACCATACGTTGACCTTAGATATGATAATACTTCTTCGATCTCTCTGTTTCTACGTACTTCATTCAACTAACATTCTTGTAGATATACAAGTAGTATCAATAGTGGTAATTTGATATGTTTTCAATTTCTCGGTCAATTAATGATACTAAAAAGACATAGTGGCTGAAAAAAAGAAGCAAAGCTGTATTTACAGGTACTCCCCCGCTCATGCAATGTGAAAACAAGACCATAATCGGAGCAAAAGCAAAGCAAAGTATAGCATGGCAAATAAAAGGATATCCCTAATGATAGCAATAGCATCGACATACCCGTATCTTTCAAAGACGGGATTCCAAAAAAAAGGGGGGGATGAAGCCCATATGCAGGTCGGGGGCTACAGCCATTAGTCAAACCGCGGTGACCTGTCCTCTATATCCATACGGTCCGCACTGCCACCGCCAAATAGATGTCCAGCCTCACGGCAGTAGCGGGCCTCTCGTCGTACACTGCCGACTTCACTCGCCCAGCAAACGACAGCGGCATCGACGACGCCGGCAAGAACTCCTTCCATGGCAGATAGAACGCCCCATCCAATCGTTCCCGCGATCAAACCAACAATGTAGGCGTACAAGCTGCCACGCATGGTAGAACCCTTGCTACCATCTGCACCAGAGACCTGCAGACTACGGGCAGTAGATACCCAGCCCCCGAAACCAAGGGCAAGAGACATCATGAACCGGGTGGCGTGTAGAAGCATCTTGGCCAGACGGTATGGCATTAAAGTAGAAGAGTAATAGTCTGTACGACTTGCGTCGGAGAATGTTCGTGGATGGAATGTCATGGCCGTTGCCGCTGAGGGGGCTAGGAAGACCATCTGGTTGAGGCTGCGCGCTGAAGCGACTAGAGGCTGGGAGTGAATGGCAGCATATGTCAATGTGAGAGGGTTGGTGAGAGCGGCAATTGGCGTGGGTACACAAGAGTAGGCAGCTAGTGAGATCATAGATGATATACGGCGCGGGAGGACGATTAAAGGAATGCGGACAAGAAGGGACAGCAATGTTGAAAGGCATATCGTTCCAAACAGAGTAGTAAGGGCATGAGTGAAGGCAGCACGAATTACGTCGTGAGATGTAGGCGCAGGTGTGGCGTTGCGGTGGAAATACCATTGGCTAACGACGGCAGCAGTGGTAGTCCGTTGGATGCCTGCAATAACGCCGAGGGACCAGAGGTAAACGAGAATAAAGTAGACTCCCAGCCACCATGTACCGATATCGATGATGAAGAATCTTTTGCCTCCAGATGCGAGATGTCCACCGAGGAAGACGCGGGTGAACATGAGTATCCATGCCCAACTCCAGAGCGCAATGAGGGCTATCGTGGCGAATCCTAGGAGAAGCAGTGCCGGGTTCGCGGCTAATATACGACATGAGAACTCTAGGATATCAATTGCCTTGCCGGTTGCATGTCTGCCCTTAACAACGGAGTAGATCCAGGTTGCAGCCATGACCGCAGGCACTATCGACCCCCAGCGCATTACCTTATCCTGGATACTAGATCCATGCCAGGTGCCTTTGAAACTAGAAATGAAAGGGTATAATGAGAAGGAAATAAGGATGACTGGAACCGCAATTAGCATGGTAAAGACCAGAGGCCGAACATAGGACCGCAACAGCGCTAGCCAGAGCAAGGCCACAAATATTGAGATAATTGTATATGTTCCTAGGAGGCCGAAAGAAGAGTGTAGAGTGGCATAGATGGTGTCTCCGAGGAGCGGGAGTTTAGTGGGAGCTGTAGTGTGAAGATATACAATGAACGAGGTAGCGAATAGGCCACTCAAGCAAAGTAAGAACATATGTCCCCAAAACATGTCATGCATTGGAGGTTCAGGATCTCCACGGGCCATCGACGTAGCAGGCATCTCAGAGGCGATAGAGCTCGGTGGTCTAGCGTTGTTTAACAAGGCCTGCTTGTCGGACTCTCGGTCTATAAATCCAGCACTGGTCTGGAACTCATCATCATCATCACCCAGGTGACTTGACTGATTTTGGAATTGGCGTATCGGTGGTCCACCAGCAGTGAATTCCGGAGGCGGGTCATCGTCGTCATAATCAACGTTCACAGCGTCTGTCTTTATCGAGTCCTCTAGTCGAACCTCGACCATTCTACCCTTCCCGGATCTGGGGCTCCCTTCGGACACATCTTCCTCATTTTCTTCCGGCTGTTCTTCCAGTGGCTTGGTAGCTGTTTTCCCTGCCGGTCCGATAACAGACGCCTTCCCACGCCACGAGCTTCGTATCCCCGTTCCTCTACTATATTCATCTTCCTGGCCTGTACTGTGTTCCGAGTGTTTACTGTCCTCTCCTTCGTCCCCTTCGGATGACTCTGCTAGTCTGCTTGCGCCAAAATGCCGCCTTGATCTCTGCAGGGCATAAAAATCAGCAGCATCTCGCTCGTCGTCTTCCTCGGGAAGGTGCTCATTATTGCTGTGGAAGAGCGGTGCGTGATGCACGGATGACCGCGGTGAGAATGCAAAAGTCTGAGAAGCTGTCGAGGAATAAGGATTCCCAAGCGCCCGTTGCAGATAAGGCCGTGACGGAGGTGGGCGGGTGGTCTGTCGATCAGGCCTCCGGCTTCGATCCCCAAATTCCCGTGGGGGGGAGCTGTCTCCGGGTGCTATTCGGGACTGTGACTGTGAGAGAAAACGGGACGCATCTAGAGTACATATTAGCAAAAATGCTTTAGCAGCAGTAGGAAGAGAGGTATAGGAGAGCCATCGCACATTCTGAAAACATGATTCACTCCAGGGGAGGTAGGTAGGCGGCGTGTGGTCGGTGATTTTGTCTGTGACGTATGAGAGGCTACCCAGCTCTTCTATACCAGCAGCTCTCTTTCTTCGCAAACAAGCTTATCTCGTATCATGGATCGCAGATTGACTCATACCAGAGACCATCTATGGCCGAGAAGGGAAGCGCCTGGTCTGGTCGGGAGCTCTCTCTGTGTGTGTGCGCAGCAGCGGCTGTTTTATGTCATTTACTATGGAGAAGCGCTCGGAAGGTTTAAGAAGCAATATACAGCAGTAGTTAGCCTCCAGAGCAGGCAGCACAGCACCGCAGACTCCTCCTCCAGCGCAGAGCTCCCAGAAGCCGCAGACAAGGGACACGCTGAGAGTGAAGCCGAGAATCCGACAAGCCAAAGGCCAAAACGACGAAGTTCGAAGTTCGAAGTTTCGACGAAGCGAAAGCGAAGACGAAGACGAAGTGACGGTGACGATATGCTGAGGTAAGCAAGTCTCCGGTCATGTGCCGCTGTCACCTGACATGCACTTTTCGGCGGGAGAAAAAGACGACGACGACGGCGGCGAGATAGACGACGGCGACGATGGTGATAATGACAATGACGATGACAATGACAGTGACAATGACAGGACTTGTGCACTCGACATGTGGCCGTGGCTGCTGCCTGGCCGTAGGCAGCGTCAGTCGGTGCCTGGAGCGCGAGTCATCAGCCCTGGGTCAGCGGAAGAGAAGCTCGCTAGGCAGTGCTACTTAGGTTAACTAGTTGCTAGTGAGACGGTCATCCCCAACGTCCCGACTCGAAGCTAAACACAAGTCATATTCGCAGATAACATGGCCTACCAGCTGCCCGAGGGGTTAGAGCAGCGTCAGTAATAATAATTAATTCAACGTTATTGAATCCCGCCATGCAAAAGGGCTGCCGGTCTTTTATTTAACACATCGACTGAACGCCCCTCGGACGGCGGCCGAGCCGTCCTCTTCAGCTTCATCGGCACCTTGATACATCGAGACGGTTCTACGATCGACCTTCAGACAGGAGCTGCAAGGACTCCGCAGAAGTCAGACAGGTTTCTCCCGCTATCTACGTTTTGCCACCAAGCCCCATTTCTCGCAGCAGCAAGCAAGCCAGCAAGCAAGCAGTAGCAGCATGCATTAGTGAACTGGAATAGACGCGGCATCAACTTCCGAGGAGAAAAAGAAGAAGAAGAAGAAGAAGAAGAACTGGCCCTTCTTCGCGGTTCACAGATAACTTCAGGGCCACAGGACGGTAGAGGTGCGAGAGTAGTGCCAAAAGAGTTGCTAGGAGAGTCGAGCTCGCCGTCCATCCTGCCTTGTAGGCTGTCCTGAAAAGCAGCTGGCGGACCAAGTATGCCGTGTGAGAGATCTCAGAGCCTCTCTCTCCTCGTATCCCAAGGCTGAACAAGACGACACACCTTTTTGTGTCTCTTCTGCTCCATGTTTTTATTCTTATGTTTTCTTCTTCCTGGGAGAGATGACGTTCGGCAGCAGCTTGTTGCAGCCGAAGTACCTCCCAGGTACCCTCCCTACTAGCTGCCGCTGCTGGAGTACACCGTAGTACCTCGTCCAGGGCCCCCCGGGGCCAGGCCGCAAGGGGGGAGGGAGCAAGCCGCCTCATTCTCCTCCTTGCGCCCTCTTTGCTTCCTGTCGCTTCTCTCTCGTGCTTTGCCCAACTTGCTTGCTTCTTCCGCAAAAGACAGACAAATAATAACTACACACCCAACAGTCGCTTCTTCTTCGCCGGCAGTTTTCTTCTTCCTCCTCTTCCTTTCTTCTGTTTCTTCCTCCATAGATTCAAGTCCGCCTTTTTCTTTTCTTTGGCCGGCACTTGTTTCGCCGCTGCCGTCAGTCAGCTGCACGTCAAAGCTACCTCTCTACCTAGGTACCCTATATAAAATAACTACCTCCCTCGCCGAGTTCGATGCCCAATCTTCAACCCAATCTATAGTTGACGCCTCTTTGCTCTCGTTACCCCACGATTTTAACCATATTCTTCCCCTCAGACGGCGTAATAGCCTGCTGGTTTTCTTCCAAGGTCCTGGGTGCTCCCTCGGCCTTGTTGTGTTGACGGTTTTATCACAGCAAGACTCGCCAACCGGCCAACCCTCCCCCCTTCACGCAAAGGAAAAGCACCGAGTGGGAGCCTGCTTTCATGTCAAGCCCACCATGGGATTTCATTGCGAAGCTCGTCTGTATCGGTGACTCAGGCACAGGTAAATCAAGTGTGCGCAAGTCCATCTTCCATTCTCGGTCCCTCAATTGCTTTCCTCCTCCCCCCTGATGCCTCGTGCGTTTGTTGCTGCGATTGCTAACCTGCCTTGCTTCACAGCTCACTGTTCGCCTGTGCGAGGGCCGCTTTAGCACCACCCACGATGTGACTATCGGGGTAGAGTTCGGCTCGAGGATAGTGCCTGTTGGCCCGCCGGCGTCTGACGAGATAGGGATCAACTTTGACAACACCTCCCTCGCATCGACTCCGTCCGCTCTCTCGCCCTCGGCCTCCTTCACAGGCACCATCAACAGCCATACTACCAATAAGAACGGGAAGCTCACCGGCGACAAATCCGTACCGCCGTCCCCACGGAGCCTCTCGGGACTCCCTCCGCCTCCCACCAAGCCCTCAGAGCCACCGGTCCAGAAACGGATGAAGCTCTCGCTCTGGGACACAGCAGGCCAGGAAACATACAAGTCCATCACGAGGTCTTATTTCCGCGGTGCATCTGGCGCCCTGCTAGTATTCGACATCACTCGGCCCCCGACATTCGCCTCGTTGACCCAATGGCTTCAAGACCTGCGACAAATTGCCGAAGAGCGGATCGTGGTCATACTGGTGGGCAACAAGAGCGATCTCGTCGACTCCAAGGGCAAAGAAAAGGACGCCGATAATCCCGACAATGATAATGCTGATAACGAGAATAATAAGACACAACGTGTCACCCGTGAAGAAGCCGAAGAATGGTGCAGACAGAACAATGTCGTCAGATACGTCGAGACCAGCGCCAAGTCAGGGGAGAATGTCGAGCGGGCGTTCCGAGAAGTGGCTGAACGAATATACAGGAACATACAGCACGGTAGATACGATTTAAACGACCGGCGGAGCGGAGTCAAGGGCTATGGTGCCTCAGCCGGGCCCGGCAACGGGCGTGTACCGCGGACAGTCAATCTAGGTGTCAACGATGCCATGCGGAGAGGCAATCGTGGATGGACTGGCGGATGCTGTTAAACTAAATATACATACTTGCTTTATACCCCCCTTTTTTACGTGCCCTGTCCTTCAGGCTCTTTTTCAGCTCCTTTCTGCCTCTGCTTGTTTTACTATTATATTTTAATTTTATTTATATGCATCTACTTTGCTCTACATGGCTTGAAGAAGCACTTCTTCCATCTTCGACGACATAAAAATTCAGGCAATCCCCCTAATATAATAATATCTTGTTCTCCGTCTTGACACCGGAGGTCTGCCTGCTCACTACTTAGTAGATCCATTCCACGGTCAACTTAAGCTGCAGGTGGTTTAGATACCCCCATCCCCTTAAGGATATATGTATTCACTAAGCATAAATATTCACCAAGTACTCCGTACCTCTCCGTATAAAAGTTGATTCAAGTCTCTCTCTTTCTTTCATTTTCAACTCTTTATATATTTTTATCAAACCGCTGGGCCAAAAAGCGAAGTCCCTAACTAATTAACTGGCTGCAGAGAGAGTCGTTGGTTACTGACATCATTTAAAGGTAATAATTATTGAAATTTTTTATTTCTTTTTTTCCGCCACACACAACCATCATCGATGTCCGCTTCACAGCCACACGGTAGCTAACTACCAATCCAGGTCTATTAACTAGAATCGATAGATCTGGGTATCCAGCATGACATCCATCCGGATCAGTGCGCAAAAATGACAACTGGAAAAGATATTGGCGTACGGAGTAAGAGAACGGGGCTTCTACTAGCTGATCTCCAGTCAAGATGGGATAGCATAGATGTTCTAAATCGAGACCCCTTAGCTGGAGACACAGGAATAGACAACACTGCCCTAGCCGATATTAGAGGTGACTATGGCGTTTCACTGTCATATATAACAGGACTTCGCCGACTCGCTAGGAGATACCTTCAAAGCTTTCCTGGCCGGGACTCTCTGTCTCCAAACACTATGCTACATCAACAGTGTTCCGATCTTCTTGCTAGGCAAAGAGGATTCAGTCCCGGTGAACTAGGCAGGATTGAGTCTGCCCTACAATACCGCATGGGGATGAGCTGTCTGGCTAACCAACTTGTCGTTGGCTTCTCCTTACCCCTTCCACAGGGCGTTCCCTGTGACGAGTGGGATGAAGATAACAAGTCTAGCTACGGCCAAAAAGAACGGAGCAGTCTCTTCCATAGGTTGCTCTCGTTGTTTCCGTCGGCAAACCCCAATCAAGGAGTGAAGGGCTGGACCAAACCGTACTGGTACATCGTCTCAGCTCTGATCGAGGCTGACCTTTCACCGTCCCAGGTTGACCGCAAAATACAGCAGCTCTTTGAAGGTATGTTATAATGTATGCATAGGGTTGAACCTGTTTAGAACGTTAATTGCTAATCGTCTCTAGCTGTCGAAGAAATCCGGCAGACACAAGAGGATCGCTGCGTCGACATCATCAAGTCCAAGTAGCTACTGAAGGGTAAGCTGTCAAACCGCTGGGCCAAGAAGGGAAGCCCATTGCTGTGCTGGTTGCAGAGAGAGTCATTATTATAGTTGTCCCTCATCCTGGACGACTACACTGAAGCCCACTTACTGAACATGGCGTCCTCTACTTCCGCACGACGCGCTAGCTCGCCAGCTTGTAGGGCCACGCTGACCTCAAGCATGCCTACTTCTCTATACCCGTCCACCCTGACGACCGGTACATTTTAGCCTTTAATATCACCAAGAGAGACCTCGGCATCTACTGGTCATACAATTTTAACAAGGTACAACCCCAAGCTGTGACGGCCCTGAAATAAGGATTTGTAGTCCTAAGGAAATACTCTCACCTGTTTAAGAATCCTTCTTCCAGGACTCAGTCCCAGGTGGTTGAAGTGACTTCTAAGTTACGTTTATATCATTGACATAAGATAGCTTTTGGTTGGAAGTTTCAGCGTTAATCATTAAGCTTGCATACTCCCTGTTCCTAGTATAAATATATCATACCAGACATATTATTTTATTACATACAGAGATTGCCCCTTTCAAACGAAGTTACTCACAAGAAGGGTGACTGGCACCTGTAGCTAAAGATATATTGTCTCCATTATTACCAATAACAGCTTTCCGGGGCAATGTTTTCTCAAGGACAAGGTTACCGAGCGTTTGCACCGCCTGTATCTGATATCTTTATTGGCCCCATTTGGTATTTGCAACCGACCAGCTCAGTTCCATCTGCATCTCTGCCAACTTTGCCCCTTGTTATCACAGTTGCATCAGCCTTCAAACGCCTGTACATCGCACGCCCTTCGCTCCCCCGAGGCCCGGAGAACGCAAACATGCATATTCCTGGAGTTGGGGCACTGGGGGCTCGGGAGTTTAGTTACATCCATATTGGGAGCAATGCAAACACTTAAAGAGACGAACTAGCCAAATTCCCGACCCTAAAGTCCTCGTATCCAACTCAGTGGATACCTCGATAACGCTTCCTTTTGCCATGAGTCACAGTCTGGGAATCGAGACTGTCTTTAAAGGCCTGCATACACCCCACGTCGAAGCGGTATACTCCCTGACAGTGGCGGCATATCCATGCTGTTCCCCAGCTTCAATCCGCCATTAACCCATTCCCTCCTATTTAACTGTTAACAACTGGGCACACCTATTTATACCTTCATCAATTAACCAGTAAACAGCCCCCGAAGAGCTATGGCAGTGACTCCTGCGCCGTCCAAAGGCTCCTGCGAGGAGTTCGGCTCATTGATGCTGGATGTAGACGAGCTGCTCCGCCATCCTTGCTTGCCCCGAGTGCTGAGACTGATAAATTTCGCATTCAGGCGTGATGACGGCGTTGCTGTCAACTCAGACGGTAAAAAGGGCCGGTTTAACTCCCCAGAGCAGATCATTCCGTGGATTGGCAAGCATGGCCGGATAGCCATCCTGTTCAGATACAAGCCGAAAGAGAGCCGGCAGCAGCAGCAACCCAATGGCCACACCAACGGCACAAATGGCTATAACATCGACAATGGAACCAACGGCATCACTGCTCCAGCCGATCAAGAGGAGCGTGAGATAGATCTCAACGAACCCATTGCAACGGCGGTGATAAAATTCTTCAAGCCGAACCTCGGCATTCAGCCCATCGAGGGAGAACTAGATGGCGACATCGAGAGAGGCATCGGTATGTTATATCCCCATACTCCGTGCTATCACACTTATAAACTGTACCCTTGGTCGTGAATTTATAGTTATCCCAAAAGTTGCGATCCCAACTGGCCGTGCCACAGGCAAAAGCAAAGAAAGAAACCCCCGGCTAATAGTTTCCGCGCCTTAGGATACGACCCGGAACCTGACGACTTGCTCGCCATAAAACATTGGGAGCCAGCATGTGTATCTGTCATGCCGTTTGATGACTCGCTGAAGGGTAAAGGGTTGGCTATTCGCTGTGTACAGATGCTAGAGGACGACCTCTTAGAACGGATAGATGCCGCCGCACAACAGCGAGAGCGAGAAACGGGTATGCCTAGGGATACTTCGCCCTTGACCTTCTGGGTCAGAACCAGGACTGATCTGACGGAGGCGTATTGGAAGAGAAGAGGGTATGAAGTTTTGAGCTGCAAATGGTTTCCTGCTGGGTCCTGGGAATATGACCATGATTTCCAGATATCAGTCCTGACAAAGCCAGTTCCTCTGCTGAGCCGGAGCAGCATCAAGAACTAGATACGGCTCACGAGAAGGTCAAATAGGCGCATGGGTAGAATTTGAGGTTGGGAGGAATTATTCGTCGATTTTATGATTAGTATTTATTTCATTAGAACCAATTTTTTTATATAACGAAAAAAGAGAAGCGTTTATTAAAATACAAAAAAGTTCCAGTCTTTTACTGCTATATTTTATCGGGCGTGTAGCCATCCATAGCCTCTCTAGAGCAACTTCCCAGTCCCCTGATCCGTTACAATCATAACAAGACAGCAAAGTTCCATCTGGAAGATTTTTCATTTCATCTGCTGACAACTTCTTCGCCAGCACTAGTTGTGATAGTTGTGAATTGAAATGTCCTTTCTGTCGTCTATCGGTTGGCAATCTTCCAACTGCTCAACCAATTGAGACTCTTCCACTGCTGGTTTGAGCCTTCCATACCGAAAACGATGTCCTTGAAGATGACAAATAGGCCGATAATAACGACATAGAGGACTGAATAAATGGCCCACTCGACCTTCCGGTTAAGCTTCTGAGTGAACCAGTCAATACAGAAAGCCATGGTCAAGATAGCAAAGTACAAGGCCGGGTAGTAGTGATGGACGTAGGTGACACGGGCCATGATCATGAAGGGGAGATAGTGGAGGAACCAGCCCACAATGGGGTAAATGCCGGAATAGTGGATGTGGTCGATGTCGGCCATGCTGAGTTCGTCATAGCCGCGTTGCCAGCGAAGCAGATACCAGAGGACGAGCAGACTGAAAACACCCAAACTAAGGGTACTGCCCCAGTAGACGAATGGGTTTCCAAGGAGGAAGTACTTGACGATATTGTCGTCCCAGGAGCACATTCGGAGTCCAACATTAAGGATTGGCCATTGCCAGAACTTCGATGCTAGGTCATCTTGCTTATCGGGATCTGGGACAAGAGCGTTATTGGAAGTCATCATGGCAACGTTCAGATGGATAAAATCCTTGAGGAAGGGCGACTTGTAAGTGCCTGGTTGACTTGGAGGAACTGTATATCAGATATGTTAGCATAAAGAGTTCATGTCGTAAAGTGAGAGACAGGGAGTACATACGCCTCTCATTCACGTGTGACTCGATGTTCCAGTGAGTATACACGTCCCATGGTCGGTTCTCCTTGGTGCAGGTAGTCTCAATCTGCTTGAATCCCCACTGAGGCAAGCTGACACCGCCAGCTCTAAGATAACAGCCCAAGACAGTATGGCGTAGGCGGAGGGCAGTGGTAAGAGTTCTGATTTTCGATCTGTCTCTTGACGCAACGTCTTTGACGACCTCGATGGTCCAGTGGTCCTTGGCATCACCAACGGTGGTGTTTCCATAGGCAGACACTTCATATTGAGCCTTGGTGACTGGAGCTGCCACGGTGTGAGAGTGCAGGTTGCGGCCGGTCTGAGCGTGGATAAGGCGGATCACGTCACCATCACCAATAAAGCTAATTGGACCTTCTGGGTTATAATCCGGCTGAGTACGGTTTGGATAGATGAACCAGTCGTTGTTAGAGTCCTTATGGTGGTAGCAAGTGATCTGTTGCTGGCCCGATCCTTCGGGATAAGTCTGAACGTGAGAGTGTAGTAGACCACCTCCGTATCCCATATTCTTCAGTGTGATTTTGGATCCAATGGCGACCTCAAGAGGGCTGTCCTTGCCAACGTTGGTACCTCTCAAGTTAGCTTGGAACAAAGAGCTCATCTGAGCGTCACCAGTACCGGAGTTCTCAAGCACAAGGAAATGAATGTAGAAGGAGAACATATAGACCAAGAATGGTACGATGATCAGACCGAAAACACGGGCTCCCAAGTGATGAGCAAGAACCGTCTATGCATCATAGTTAGAAACTACAGCATATAACATCAAGGTGAAGGGGGTGAGTGAGTACCTTTGGCATCTTTAGATCTCCAAACTTGTTCCAGAGATCCTCAGCAGTGTAAAGACCAACTAGTGCAGTGCAGAAGAGTCCGACCCATTTTACACTGCAGACACACCCAATGCTCAGGCCAGTGAGGATGAGCCAGAGATACCACTCGGGGGAGAAGCTTTCATGTCGAAGTCGGTGGAATCTTGCCCAGCAAAGGGTAGTGGTGAAGGTGAAGCAGAGAAGCATAGAATCCAAAAGAATAAATCTGGAAATCGTGGCGTAGGAATTCTCGCAAAGCACCATCAGGGTGATAAGCCAGACAGCTGGACGGCGGAAATTCAGCTCTCGCGCAGTATAGTATGCAAGTGGAATGCATACGATACCGAAGAAAGCATTGAAGATACGCATGAAGGTGTAGTTGACTTCCGGAGGGTATTTCTCGCCAGACTTAAATTCGAAAGATCCGTTATAACCAGCCAGGAAACCCGACAATCCAATAAGCATTTTACCCAGCGGAGGGTGGACATCGAAGTAGAATTCTCGTTTGATGTAGTATGAGCCAAATTTCCCGAAACTAGAGTGACGCAGCAGATATCAATCAGTACCCATCCACCCAAAACCGGTATAGAAAAAGGGATCAATCTCGGTTTCTTACTGAGCTTCATCCCACGTAACGATATCTGAGAGACCAATGCGCCACAAACGAGTGAAGCAAGCCAGAGCAGTGAAGATCAATGGGGCAATGAACACTTCTAGGTCATCGAGAATCTCACAGAAGGAGGGGGACTGTGAGAGAGAACAGGTAGAAGGTCAGCATGCCGTACAAGCAAGTCACTTCAAGGCTCCTACCCAGTTTCAAGAGATTTCCATACCTTCTCCTTCAGTTTCTTCCCGTCGACTTCAATGCTGGGAATTGGGACATTGGCGCTGCTCTTCTCCGCACCAGGCACGTTTCTCCTCCGAACTTCTGTGTTCGGCGAGGTGCCAGAAGCAAACGCTCTATCGTCGGCCGCCATGCTTAGGGAGCCAACGAAGAGCCGGTCCTGTCGGTCGGTCGGTCGGTCGTGAAAAAGGTATTAAATTGGGATTAGATAGAAGGGAAACGGGGAAAAAAAGACCGTGGCCAAGTTATTTAAACGGGATAAAACAGGTAGTGGCTGAAAAGGAAGATGAACCACCGCGACTCGATTAAAACATCCCTCTTAACGAAAGAACGGAAACAAACCCTTCCAGCAAGCTTGCAATGGGAGCGAAGAAGAAATGAAGAAGCAGAAGAGGTAGTCGTAGAAGAAGAAGAAGAAGAAGAAGCGAAAGGCGTCTCTGGGTTTCTGGTTGATGGCTGAAGAAAAGTGGCCTGGGATCCCAGACACAGAGTTGCGGCTAAGGCAGAGCTAGAAATAGAAAAAAGGGGCTGATGGGCGGAACTCTAAGGGCGGAGGCTGGATGAGGCCACGTACAGCGTTTAACTCAGTCGCTGGAAATGAAAGCGTGCGAAGAAGGCAGCAAGGAGAGAAGACGACGAAGAAGAAGAAGAAGAAGAAGAAGTGAAACAATGGCTGATAGAAGGACAGAAAAGCTGCAGCGAGGCCACAAAAGCTGCAGGGAGAAGAAGAAGCAAAAGAGTCGACGGTGGCCAGTTGAACAGTCACGTGATAGGTGATATCAAAGTAGAAGACGAGGACGACGAGGAGGACGACGACGACGACGAGGATGATGATGATGATAGACAGTAGCTAAAAGGATGGATACTCTTAGGTGCTTGGATGCTGAGATACTCGGCGGATAGAGGTGAGAGCGAGGCATCTTCCATGATATTATTACAGAGTATTGCACAAGGCATATGCTAGCAACCAGTCTATAGTGATGTACATCTTACCTCCGCCCGTCCTTTGAAGCTTGAAACCAACCCGACTCCTGAACCTGCGACATAGCTGGAAGCTTACCCTTTGCCTCCAGAGCTGTAGGGAACATATATAAGTAAGTATATCCACAATGGGTATGCAGCAAAAGTAGAAAGTGATTCATAGTTGCCCACGTCTATTCGAGTCGCCGTATTATACCACCCCCGATAAGCTCTTCATAAGGACAATTGTGTGGTTATGTTGTGTTTGTGCGTGTGCGCTTATATATGTATAAAGATCATGATCAACCGAAGAAAAACGATGCCAGTGAAGGTGTGCCCCATTTCTGAGATCCAAGAGAAAGGGTGATGATGGTTGATATGGACACAGAAGAAAAGGAAAGGAAAAAAAAAGTAGCATACATTGCAGGCCTCATCCCACGTGAAACCCAGATTCACGGTGGATGCCGAAAGGCTGGTATAAGAAGAGTTTGCAAAGGGGAAAAACAAGGAGATAAAGGGAAGATAAAGATAGATGAGATGGTTAGATAGCGTGATGATGATTATGACGATTGGATTAAGGGTGGAGGCGAGTGACTCAGCCTTGACAAACGAAAGCAATTTGGTCCAGAGGTATGTATTCTATTGAGCTTCGATGCAAACGCCTAAAAAGATAAAGAGGAGGTGGAAAACAAGGAGATTTATAGTTACTCGTCTTCATGCTGTCCGATCTGACGATATTGACTGTGATCACCTCTGTTCCCCTTGTCTTTACCGCGGTTGATAAGACTGGAAATCCATGTCCCAATACCGCCTTCTTTCGACGGGGTCAGCTGTTGTTCACCCTCGGCAGCCTTATCGACCTCACCAGCCATGGAACCAGGTCTGGGAGTAGGTGGGTTGAGATGCAGGTTAGGAATAGATGGTCCACCGGGTTCATTGCCTCGCCGAATGTCGAATGATGATGGCGACCCAACGCCTCCCATGAGAGAACCGCGCTCAGCTTGGCTGGCGGGAGTAGGGGCGGCGGACTGAGCATCGTCGAAGATAAGTTCCATGTCCTCGAGGCGAACACCACTAGTTTCAGGGTAAAGGAAGAATACTAAGACGAGTTAGTTATAAGCTTCGAACAGCAGGTGGGGATGGATAAACTTACCGACAACAAAACTGCAGGCACAGAAAAAGGCATGCATGAGGTAGAGTCTCCAGTGGATCGCCTCCTGTAGCACAGGAGTAAGCTCTCCAACAAGCCAGTTGAATGCCCAGTTCGTTGCGGTACTCAAACTTGCACCCTTTGCACGGATGCTGAGAGGAAGGATCTCTGGAGGGTACAACCATGGGATGGGACCCCACGAGAACCCAAAGGCAGCATTGTATATCATGACAGATATAACAGTTAGGGCTGGGGTGTAGGATATATTGATATGGATGAAGTAGGCCATGGCAGAGAGGGATATGATCATCAATATAGCACCCGATAAGAGAATTGGTCGGCGACCCCATCTATCAACGAGATACCATGGCGGGATTGTGGAGAGAAGATAGGTAATGCCATTGATTCCGGTCATCAAGATGGCGTCACGGCCAACCCAGCCGGCGGATTCGAACACAAGAGGAGCATAGTATGAGATGACGTTGATACCATTGAGCTGGGCAAAGGCCTGGGCAGACATCGCAATAAAGACACGCCTGTAGTAACGCTTGAACATGTCTTTGTATGTCCGTTCGCCTTCCTGTCGTGTGACGAGAACATTGGTCTTGATCTCACGGTATTCCTGTCTAGCCTTGTCGTTGTGAAGGTCGCCCTTACCGTACAGGTTGGCAATGACGACCATACCCTCTTCATCATGGTCATGGTCCAAAAGCCACCTATCCCACAGATAGTTAGACTAACAGACTGTGCGGCTAAAAAGAAGAAAAAAAAACGAAAGACATCAAGACATACCGAGGAGATTCACAGATGATCAAGCTTCCAAAGCCGAGGAGTGCACCCATAACACACTGAAGGAATAGTGGTAGGCGCCAAGAAAAGTCGCTCTGGATGTAGCTGCAGAAGTAGTCAACCCAGACACTGGCGGCGTACCCACAAATATTCCCCGTAAACTCAATACATGCGAGTTGACCCCGATTGTGAGGTGGAGAGATTTCAGATTGATAAACAGGAACGATCGTGGAGAGAGCACCAACACCTAGACCAGCTACGATACGGCCTACAAGCATCATAGGAATTCCCGTAGCAAATGTCTGGAAGGCACCACCGACAAAGAAGACCATGGATCCATAGAGAATAGTTCGTCGACGACCGATTATGTCACCGATTTTCCCCACGAGGAGTGAAGATATAAACGCTCCTACTTCGAGAATGGCTACCATGGTGCCGATCTCTGCACGAGTCGGCTGGTTGAAATAATCTTTAAAATATTGACCCCTACGCTTGTCAGTCGATTTTGATGATATTTGAGTGGGAGAGGGCATGACGATAGACATACGTAATAATGCCGGACATAACGCCTTGATCATATCCAAATAAAAAGACGCCTAACGACACGAAAATGCTAGTAAAATACCTTTATTCATGTCAGCATTGTTCTCTAACATAGTAGTAGCAGTAACAGTAGTAAAAAAATGGGGGGTAATGACGTACAATAACGGCTTCCCAACGAGGCCGTGGGTTTTGGCCCTGCCATCCCGGGGCGACATGATGGAAGCCAGCAGCCTCTCAGCTCTAGAAATGGTTCTGGGGCCCGGCTCAGGGATTCGGATGGCCTCCTTTAGGTCTCCGTTGTCGACGAACGGCGTATGCTCCTCCCCAGCTTCGTCTTCCTCGTAACGAACCCGTTTTGGCTGAGCTGCGGATGACGAATTCGGTCGACCTGACTTCCCAAATACTTGAAGATCGAGGGACCCTCGGAGCCGGAGACGCAAGGGATCCTCCTCGTCGGCGAGCTGGTCTGCGATGTCACCGGAATCCGACCAGACGGAAAAGTTGGACTCTGACGGGGTGGGAGACGGGGTCCGCCGGCTGCCTAGTTTATCACGATCGGCGTCGAAGAGAGATGAGGACTGTTCAGACGATGGCCGGGATGTCTGTATCGACTGCAGAGGTATGGAGGCGGAGGAGGTCGAGGGTTTGAGTGATGGAGGAATCGTGGCGGTTTAAGACCAGGGCTTGCCCGAGGCAGCCCTACGACTCCGGCTAAAAGGTAAAAGACAGAATTACGGAGTAAAGGGCGTTATGTAACACGGCGGAGACGATAGAGCGGAGGTCAGATCAGGTCAGGGGGGGCGGCTCTGCAGTTCGATGTGGGCATGGAGATGGGAACCCGTTGGTGGTTGATGGCAACGGGGGTTGGAGGTGCATCCGATGACTGAAGGGAAAAGGAAAGCAGAGAAGGGCGAGGCGAGCGTGATCGCTTTTGGCCCAGGTGTTCCACCCTGGGCTTGTCAGGCTGGGGCTGAGACGCTGTGGTTGGCTACGAAGAGACGCTGGATGCCGGCCAACTGGCGGATTGACTCGACTGCTTGGTTCGCTTGGAGGCGCTGGGAGTGACTTTGCGGTGATGCTGGCGCTGCGTCTGCTGGTTGTTCGTCCTTTTTTTGCTGTTGCTTTCGTTTTCCGCTTCTGGGGATGGGAGGATGACGAGGTCATGTGCTGCTTAGTCATCCCGCTGACTCCACATGGCGGGAAGGGACCGTGAGTGGCACGTGATACTCTTTGACATCAACATCGACGTGGACGACAGAGACGAGATGGACGACATGGACGACATGGACGACATGGACGACATGGACGACATGGACAAGATAAGGAGAAGAAGAGTGGAAGAGAAGACGAACGAGGATGTGAATACAGGGAGAGGCGAGAGGCGAGAGGAACAGCGTGGGAAAAGGAGTGAAGATGAAGACTTAGACCACCAGACCTTGCCTGCCTGACCGATCAGGTAGGAAGTCACCCTACTTACACGCCATGGCCCCGAAGGACGAAATGACGGCTCAGAGGCCTCGCGGCTGAAGATCATTGCTGTCGACCGCCGACAACCAGAATAGCGTTCACGTTCTGCACAGTGACAAAATAGAGCCTAAAAAAAAGCTCATAGCGCCAACGCTCGCAACTGAGTGAGCCTATGGTTCCGTTGTCCTGGGATGAGCAGGTGGCTGCAAACAAACCGTCTCCGGACTTGTCCCGTAAGCACAATCCAGTACGAAAAAAATGGCTGAATCCAACAGGCATCCTCCCCTGGTGCATACAGGCCACGGGCTAAAAATCGGTGGATTAGCAGCCCGTTGCCACTGTCGGGCTTCCCTTGAATGCACCAAGAGGATAGTTAACTATCGATGGCTTGAAACAGAAAAACTCCGCAATGTTTGCTGCAGGAAATACGTACATCTCCATGTATGCGGGCCTCTCCGTCGATTAACCGTTTAGTCGATCAGGTATGTACCCACACTGACGTTATGTCTAACATGCACGACTTTTGCATCCTCGAATGATATTCTGCTTATTGGACCCCTCAATGGGGGCATTCTCGTCTAGTTTACCTGCTTTGTCATGACGTACAGAAGATGGAGCAGACGGCCAGGATATAGCGGGATAGCTTATTACTATTAACAATTAAATCAAGGATCTGGCGTCAGCTAAGTAGTCGATTAATTATGCGAGAGTTGCCCGCCATGCAGTGTCTCCAGAGAAATGCCGAGGTCCATCCCACACCTGGCGCTGGGAGAAGAGGAGAGGTTGGTCGTTGCATTGAAGGAAGACGCGCAACTCTCCAGCCATGGAACGCCGCATCTATAACTCTGCATCATCATAAAAGCAAAGAGACAACCACGTAAAGAGGCTGCATGATGGGCTGAGGAGTTGCTCACCAGCAGTCATAGTGAGTCAACCTGATGGAACCATCAGAGTTTGCCCCCCATAGTTTATTTGGGCGACCTACATAAACAGGTCGAGTCCTTCAATTCAGGTCAATTAACAATCCTGGAATTCTCCTGATCAACGGCCCGATAGCTGCATGTACACCGAGCAACCTGCAAGAGACGAGACTTCTATTGACCTACTACCCGCCATGTCTTCTAATTCCCAACCCATTGTCTTCTATGACATTGCAATGCGCCCGCCAGTGGAGAAGAACTGCTGCTCTCCAAACCCATGGAAAGCTCGTCTGGCCCTCAATTTCAAAGCTGTCCCTTACACGACCAAATGGGTGCCTCTTCCTGACGTAGCCAAAGTGCGTAGTGGGCTCAAAGTGCCCGCTGTCCGCAAGTTTGCTGATGGGTCAGACTTCTACACATTGCCCATTATCCAGGACCCCGCCACCAACTCGGCTGTTGGCGACTCCTACGATATCGCAGTCTACCTGCAGAAAACCTACCCAGATTCCGGCGCAGGCGACCTCTTCCCGGATCAGAAGCTCGACTACACCTTTACCCCCGATTCTGAGATTGCAGTGCCCCTCTCAGAGGTGCCGCAGAGCGGATTCATTGAATACGCCAAGTTCAACGTCAATGTCGACGCGGCATTCAGCACACATGTGCAGCTCTCGACCCAAGAGTTCCCATTCGACCCAGCCACTGCTGAGATCAGTAAAGCTGAGTTTGTCCGCCGTGCAGGCGTTTCGTCTTGGGATGACTTTGCGCTTGTCGGCGAGGCGCGGGAGAAGGTAAAAGAGGGGCTCCGGAAAACGCTCGGCGAGCTCGCCAAGCTCTTCCTGAAGGATACCAGCGGACCCTTTATAATGGGAACAAGAGCTACCTATGCGGACTTGATCGTTGGTGCATGGTTGCGAATGATGCGCACGACATTGCCGTCGAGTGAGTGGGAGGAATTGAGAAGCTGGCATGATGGTGTATTTGCGAAGTTGCATGATGCCCTGGACGTATATGCAGAGGTCAAATAGGTGACGAGCAAGCAGATTCCTCTCATTTTGGGCAACGTCGGCCTACGGCGAGGATAAGCTGTTAAATATTGACCGGTATCAAGGATGATTAGCACTATTTATGAGTAGCTTGCCGAATTAGAGCAAAGAATACGAGCGGCAGATATGCACAGATTGAGACTAGGGCTGAGTCAGTGAGCCTCGAGATCAAGCATGTATATAAACGGACGATCAAACCTAATAGATATGCTACCTCCCAGCACAAAAAAAGTTCTTCATAGCAACAAAAATGTCTTCAATGCAACAGCTCACACGCCTGCCATTCAGAGGCACTCTACTTTCGCGCACTCGGGTCCAACCACAGAACCCCCTCCTCCAAATACATCTTCTCCGGCATTGTCGACCAACGGCAACATCAAAATTCTCTACATACCCAGGACGGTTTAATTCAAAAACTACCAGCAATATATCATCATCATCATCATCATCATCATCATCAGGACTCGATTCCGATCCAAACAATGATCCGTATCGAACTCCACCCGTGAGCCTGGAATCCCTTGGTATTGGGAAGAATATGAAAATCGTCTTGCTCATTGTACTCTCTCTTCTCGAAACTATTGAGACGTGGTTTTGGTGCAAGGCTATCTGGACTTGGTGGAAGGGAGGCGAGAAGGACAAAAACATCGAACAAGGCTGCAAATAACCGTCCTTCAAGTGGTGATATCATTTGTACGATATTTGGGTTTCTAGAGTTACGGCCCGTGTCTTGGCGGGTATAGGGCAATTAACACATCTCATCTCGATATGGTTTTAGAATAGGAGAGAACTAATTCAGAAATGGTCTACTCTATAGCAAAAGAGAAAGGAGTCTTCATGTATATCATATTAACTATCTATTTGCTTGACCTATGTCCATGAAATTGCAAAATAATTTACATAGTAAGATCACCCATTCGATCTCATCAAAAAGCAGATCGAAGGCTCTGAATTAACCAGGGCTTGCCCCGAGCATGTCTCAATCCTTCATATTCCAGAAGATATCTGTTGCTGAAGCTCAGTGGTGAAAAAAAAGAGAGAGAGATCTATATGGAGTGTGGTATATAGTAAAAAAGCGCTCGAAAATAAAAGAGAGGAGGAAACCACCCAAGATTATCATGAAAGTTATGTTATTTAAGTAAGAATAATATCGTATCCGTCAAGTTGAATGTGCACAGCATCAGTGGGCACGCCATACTTGCGCCGAACAAGTTCGAAGATGATCAGGCCTGCACTGGTGCTTGGAAGTTGGCGAAGGGTATTCATGAAGAACCCCCCATACAGCCATGTTCACCAACCACCTATTCGCCGCACCTGGCGTTGACATTTCTTGAACGTCTCCATATATGCGTTGGCACGATGCTCCATCATCTCTCTACCCGAGCGAGAATGACGGACCCGTTTATCAAGGTGGTCTAGATTCCGGTAATAGATATTTTGCACCAGGCTTAGCGGATGTAGAACGGCTTGCTGGAAGATGGTAGCCGTTATTCCAGCCAGCATGAGAAATGCGGGCTCCAGAGCATAATGCGGCTTGATCACAGGAATTCCACCGGGCTGAGTAGGTGAGGAGAGTTTTTGGATGGAGGGCGCCTGGAGAGAGCCATAGTATCGGGTAATAAAGTGGTAATATCCTTGTGCCTTGACAGTTTCGAACAAGCTGAAAAACACTGCCGATCCAAGGCTGTCTTTCAGGAAGGACAGTGTCCAGCCAGAAAATACCCCACGAGCACCGAGAGTTTTGAGTTTGTCCCAGCCATAATGCCACGCGCTACGGTACTGGCCGTTTATCATATCGCTGGTCCTTGACCGGGCTTGTATGGCGTCCAGGGGTGCTGCGACAACGGATTGAATGGCACCTGCAGCGAAGCCCGCAAAGAAGGTGACAGGCGGCGATGGAGGTGGATAAACCCGCTTACCGCCCATCAGTGTTGGTTCGTGCATAGCTCCAAGTATCTGTAGATAGGAAGTATACAGTATGGCCCCGACCCTGTATCTTGCATTAGAACGTTACTTCGTTTCATCGGGGGTTAACTAACCCAACGTTTGCTATCAGCGGCGGAAGGACCTGGTACGGTATAAAGACCCAACCATGCGTCTGGACAGCATTTGCAAGAAGTCCCGGGGTAGTTGTCTTCCATGACCATCCTCCTGTTGTAGTTTGTGGTCCGATTGCTTTGGCTAGAGCCTATTCGCGACACTTCTTTAGCGGTGGACATACATGATCTGTAAAAGCTAACGTCATACCATATAGCTACACATAAATATATTATTAGCATTAACCTAGACATATGTACACACTGGGGAGCTACCTACTCAACCCTGGTGCGAAAGAATGCCTTCACCGGAGTTCTAAAGTAAAACGCTACAGCTTGAGCACTTATGGCGCGCATTCCAGCGGCCGAAGCACCAGTAGCCGCATTTGTTCGGGGCTTCCGGCGCCCCGTACCATCACCATCAGAATCATCGTTCCCTACTTTGGAATGGCTTGCTTTCAGTTGTGCCGGGCTACCGATGGGTACGGACATGGTCGTCGTGTACTTAGGAGGGAGAGGATATCCATCGGCAGGGAGGGTGGCTCAAAGAGAGAACAGTCTTAAGACGAAAAGCATGATGGTCTATCCAAAAAAAGAATACGCTAAAATATACCGGTCAAATGAATAAAATCAGCCCTCTCACCATCGTCATCTGCCTCTCCTTCTGCTGCTGCTTCGTATCTTCTTCGGCTTCTTCTTGCTCTCGCCTTTTTTTTTTTTTGATGGATGACCTTCGCGTGCAAACAGTGCAAACAGGCTCACTTTTATGCTAACCAAAAGCGGTTAGATTACAGACGCGCCTCACGTCGGTTTCTCTAAAGTGAAAAGAGCGAAAAGAAAGTTGAAAAGGTCGAAGACAGACAGAGAGAGAGGCAAGAATATCGAGCATCCACCGCGCGGCTTGCTCACGCAGCTCTTCGACATCATCCCCTACAGGCTCACGGATGAGCTAGTGACCCTCTTTTGCTTGGAGAGGGATAAGAAAAAGGGACAGTTCCGCTTCTTTTTGATACCTCGTTCGCGGCTACTTTGGCTACTAAGCTCTAAAGCAAGCTCCTGAAAGCTCAACCCGTCCTCACTTCACCAGTCCTCCTCGGAGGCACAACGAATAATCATGGGTGACGCTATCAAAATTGATGCCACGGCCTTCTCAACCCGTCTTTCAAGCTTCTATTCAGCATGGAAGGCAGATAAGAGATCGGCAAACCAGGTCTTTGGCGGCGCCTCGTCGATAGTCATCCTCATGGGCAAGACCGAGGACTCCAACTCGTTCCAGAAGAACAATGCAATGCATGTGCGTATCCATAACGGCTTCGGGAGTCTAGAAGAAGGCTCTGTTGCAATACTAGGGTTATACTAATAGGCCTTATCTATAGTTCTGGCTCCTCGGTTATGAGTTTCCGGCTACGCTCTTCCTGTTCACCATGGAGGCAATGTATGTGGTGACTACAGCAAAGAAGGGTATGCAAACGCTTAATTTTCTCCTTCGTCAAGTGGGGCTATGCTAATCCGTTGATTCTACTTCCAACAGCCAAACACCTCGAACCACTTCAAGGCGGCAAAATTCCAGTCGAACTTTTGATAACCTCCCGCGATGCAGAACAAAAGACAAAAATTTTTGAGAAGTGTCTGGATATAATCAAAAATGCCGGGGTATGCTCCTTCTGCCCATACGAACGTTAGCTTGTCCTTCAGGTCTAACTTGCGAATATAGAAAAAAGTCGGAACTCTACCGAAGGATACTTCGTCTGGTCCATTTGCTGAAGAATGGAAGCGGATGTTTGGAGATATTTCTAAGGATATTGAGGAAGTGGACATCAGTCCCGCCTTATCAGCTCACGCTTTCTCCGTAAAGGGCCCAGAGGAATTGGTCAGTGAAAAGTACCCTTGATAGGCTGTTATACAAATGACTAATTTATCTAATAGACATCGATGCGAAATGCTGCCAGGGCTTGTTCTGGTCTCATGTCTGAATATTTCGTGGATGAGATGTCAGAGCTCCTTGATGAAGAAAAGAAAATGAGCCATAAAACTCTTTCTGGCAAAATTGAGGCTAAAATCGATGATGCTAAGTTTTTTAATAAATTGGCGAAATTGCCAACCGGTTTCGATGCTCAGCAAATTGATTGGGCTTATGGACCTGTTGTTCAGAGTGGTGGAAACTACGATCTCAGATTTTCCGCAACTCCCGATGATAAAAACCTCTCCCCTGGTATCATCATTGCAGGATTTGGGATTCGTTACAAAACTTACGCTGCAGCTATTGCACGAACATTCTTGGTGGATCCCAGCAAATCACAAGAGGCTAACTATGGATTCCTTCTTGCTATTTATGATGCAGTTGTGAAAGATATTCGGGATGGAACCGTTGTTAAAGATCTGTACAACAAAGCCTTGGGGATGATCAAAGCAAAGAAACCAGAGCTCGAGAAGCACTTTGTGCGCCACATTGGTGCTGGAATTGGCATTGAGCTCCGTGATGCCAACATGGTGCTCAATGGAAAGAATACCAAGACTCTCAGAAGTGGAATGACGCTTTGTGTGTCCATTGGATTCACTGATGTCACCGACCCAGACCCCCAAGACAAGAAAAACGCTGTCTATTCGATGGTGGTCACTGATACGATCCGCGTCGGTGAGAGTGGGCCACTAGTTTTTACCAAGGATGCAGGAATCGACATGGACTCCGTCTCATTCTTCTTTGGTGATGAGGAGGAAACTCAAAAGCCAAAAAAGAGTCAGGGAGAGAGCAACAGAAACAGCACTATTGTCAGCAAAAACATTATTCAGACGAAACTTCGAGCTGAACGTCCAACACAAGTCAGTGATGGTGCTGATGTACGTCGACGTGAGCACCAAAAGGAGCTACATGCGAAGAAGAATAAGGAGGGCCTGGAGCGCTTCGCCGGTACCAAAGGAAACCAAAACGGAGTTGCACAGAAGACCTTCCAACGCTTCGAATCGTATAAACGAGATAGCCAGCTGCCTTCTCGCGTTAAGGACTTGATCATTTATGTTGACCATAAAGCTGCTTCAGTTATTGTTCCTATCCTGGGACGCCCAGTTCCATTCCATATTAACACTATCAAGAACGCAAGCAAGAGTGACGAAGGAGAATATGCCTATCTCCGTATCAACTTCTTGTCCCCTGGTCAGGGTGTTGGAAGGAAAGATGATCAGCCATTCGAGGATGCATCTGCACATTTTGTGCGAAACCTTACCCTTAGGTCCAAAGACCATGATCGTTTTGCTCAGATTGCAAAGGATATAACTGAGCTTAGGAAAAATGCTCTAAGGCGAGAGCAGGTGAAGAAACAGATGGAGGATGTTGTGGAGCAGGACAAGCTCATTGAAATCAGAAGTATGTCCGCTCATCTTCTTTCTATCATTTGATAGTTGTTATACTGACAGTTTTATTAGATCGCCGACCAATTAAGCTACCAGATGTCTACCTCCGTCCACAGTTGGATGGTAAACGTGTGCCTGGAGAAGTTGAAATTCACCAAAACGGCCTACGTTACCTGTCCCCTCTCAGAAGCGACAATGTTGACGTTCTATTTAACAACGTCAAACATTTGTTTTTCCAACCCTGTCAGCACGAATTGACCGTTATTATTCATGTCCATCTCAAGACACCGATCATGATTGGGAAGCGCACTACTAGGGATGTTCAATTCTACCGTGAGGCTACAGACATGCAATTCGACGAAACTGGCAACAGACGACGAAAACACCGATATGGAGATGAAGAAGAATTTGAAGCTGAACAAGAGGAGAGAAGACGCAGAGCTGCTTTGGATAAAGAGTTCAAGGCCTTTGCAGAGAAGATCTCTGACGCCGGAAAGGACGAAGGCGTCGATGTTGATATCCCATTCAGAGAAATCGGTTTCACCGGTGTTCCTCACACTTACCGTTCCAACGTTTTGATCCAACCAACTACTGACGCGATTGCTCAGCTAACTGAGCCTCCTTTCCTTGCCCTGACATTGAGCGAAATCGAAGTTGCGCACTTGGAGAGAGTACAGGTAAGAATAATCCCTAAACAAAAGCTGAAAATTTGGACGCTAACATGTGTATAGTTCGGCCTTAAAAACTTTGATCTTGTCTTTGTTTTCAAAGACTTCCATCGTCCACCAATGCACATCAACACCATTCCAATGGAGAATCTTGAAGGAGTTAAGGATTGGCTCGACTCTGTTGATATTCCTTTCAGCGAAGGTCCTCTCAACCTCAGCTGGGGTGCCATCATGAAGACTGTTACCAGCGATCCATATGGCTTCTTCCAGGATGGCGGTTGGTCGTTCCTGGGCGGTGACTCCGACTCTGAGGGAGAGGATGAAGAAGAGGAATCTGCATTTGAGGTATCTGACTCCGAAATTGCTGCAGATGAAAGCTCGGAGGAGGAGAGTGGCTATGACGATGACGACGCTAGTGATGAGAGCGAAGCTGCCAGTGAGGACGAGAGTGATGAGGGTGCTGACTGGGATGAATTGGAAAAGGAAGCTATTAGGAAAGACAAGGAGGCTGCTCGAGGAGGGCATGATGATGGAGACAAGCCAAGGAAGAGAAAGCGCTAAAGGCTTTGATTTCCACCAACTTGCTCTCCCGATGGTGCCCGGTCCATGTTTATGCCCCCAAATTTTATCTATGATTTGTTTTCTTTTCCTTTGCGATATGTATTTTGTTCTTTAATTTTCTACTTGAACGCTGTAAAAACATAGGGACGGGAATGGGCAAAAAGAGCTTTCATTTTAGGCCATCGATACTTCAATGCCGATACAGCAAACTGCGATATTCCAATACTACCGCTTTGATGGGAAGGGATATCGAGAACCGTAGCGGTAGATCCATCATAACCATACATACATGAATGGACAATTTCGAAAGCTTTACAAGTATTATGACTATATATATACCTGAAAGGAAAGACCATTGCATTACCGTGAAGTTTACGAGACTACCGTGTACTTGCTTTAATCATACGTGGATCAGTCAAGAAAAGCCTAGAGATAGTTAATAAACGCCAAAATAATCTCACACACATAAGGGCAACACAACAGCCCAGCTAAGTTCATTCCCTCTCATATCCACCCTGGTGAACAAAAAGCAAAGGAAAGAAAACAATTGACACGGAAAAACGGGGGCAAAAAGAAGAAGTGGTATAAAGTGAATTGAATCCAAGGCAGTTTTTCTTTAAGCTTGAGGTATCAGGGTAGTGATAAAACAGTAGCATGGTTGCTGCTTCTAAGATGGCAGGCTGAAAAGCAAGCAAAGAAATAACAAAAACAAAGGTAAGAGACATAACTGAGACGCCAATGAGTTTACATAAATACATAACAGCTTATAAGGTAGGAGCGTGGAGGAGCAGGTAACGGGAATGTCAGCTTAACCTCGTCGTCGGAAATTGAAGAACGATTTTGGTGTGGTTGATGCCCCCGTTGCTACACCTGTACCGTCATGTTCGCTGTTCCAAGTGAGATAGCGATGATCAC